GGGCGGGGGAGGGATGTAGTGTGAATGACCGAGCGAGGTGGCGATGGTGGGGCAGGTGAGTAAAAGTGCCATGGTAATGAGTACGCTATCTGTTATTGAACTTCGTAGTCAGTGAAATTCAACACTATGACTCAACAACATTTACGTAATTGATACCATTGCTGATAGCGACCTGAGTGTCAGTTGGTTTCCACCCACTCTTGAATTACGTGTGTGTGAGAGAGAGAGAGACTGTGCGCGCATGAACTCCATAGTCAGTCGGGAAGCACGCGTTTCGGAACGGACACACTGATAATGAACGGGTGAGATAGAACTTGAGTGGACAGTTCAGTAATAGAATGATTGGCCTCATGCGGAATACATGTAACCAATCACCATCCCGGATCCGGTTGGACAGATCGCTATATAAGTCCGTTAGTTGGAAGTTGTGTCATTCACTGTCATCGACTAGTCAGTCAGGTAACCAGCTTGTCACCGTACAACAGCACATCTGCTTGAACATATTCCAACATGTCCGTCGATGCTGAAACGACCCCAGTTGCAGAACAAGAAGTTGTGGATCAACAACTCGCTCAGGTAGGTCTTCGCAGTTTTACGTTGGATCATTTGATTTCATCGCTGGGACTGGTTTGACATAGAACTGTCGACTACACTGACTATACATGGATTCTCGTTTGAATAACAGGAAACGGATGCACATTTGTCTGTGACCGAGGACCAGGCCCAACCGGAATCGGAAACCCCCGTCGGGGTAGAAGAGACACCGGCCAGCACAGAACCGGAGCAACAAGCGGTCGCGGATGCGGAACCGACTGAGCAAGCTGAGGCGACCACGGCCGTGGTTGTGCCGGAGGAACAGACCGAAGCGTCTCCTGAAGGTATTGAAGAAACGGTAACGGAGGAGGTAAGTACCATGTTGGTCGATCTGTTCACAGATACTGGAATATTCTTTGTCAAACTGATTACAAATTCAAGCAGATATACTACTTCAATACAATTTACCTTTCCTATCGGTATTCATTTTTATCCAGGCCTCGTCACTGGAGGATGAAAAAAAAGGCAAGGTGAGCAATTACTGATATGCAAAATAAAAATGAAACACTGCTTTTTTTGAATGTTAGCTGAACAGAGTATTTACTTCATCTTTGTGTCACATGAAACATATATATATATATATATATTCTAAAAAAAAACAACCGAAGATGATGGTTTATCTATCTATAGACAATCACGTTTGGATACAGCAAACCCGGTCAAACTAATGACTCTTTTCTCCCACCTCACCCCCTCTGTTTCACTCTGTTCCCATAGAAAAAGGTAAATGTGATTAAATGGATCAAAAAGAATGTTCACATTCATTTGCCCAAAGTGAGTTTGTTGCTTCCTCATCTCGTGTGTGTGTGTGTGTGTGTGTGTGTGCGCGCGCGCGCGCGCGCTTCAATTCATGATGAATTCTGTTTTGACGAGAGTAACAACTAAAACAAAACAAAACAGTGTATGAAATATAACAATATTTTTATTTCTGTCTTCCCTCCACCCACCCACCCCCCAACCCCTGTTTTCCGACAGCCTCACTCACTAAAGAAGGATAAGAATGCTACAGACAAGGTAGGTTTTGAACTCAAACCAATCAATCTTGATATGGTTGTTCAAATAATTGAAATTATCCTCTTCCCACCCTAAACAAAAAAATTATTGATTCCAATTTTTGTTTCTGGTTCTATTGCTTATTATTGTACTCCTGTCCTCCAGTCCGATGAAGGTGAACAGTCTGGAGAACCCGCCTCCGGTGAATGCCCCGAGAGCACAGAAGAAGTTACCAGTGCAGAGGCACCCGAGGCGGAACCGAGTGGTGATGCTCCGACAGCTGTCACTTCTCAGGAACCAAAATCAGGTAGGTGATAGACTCAAATCAAACATCACCACCACCACCACCACCAACAACAACAACAACAACCACAGTAACCCATGCTCGTACATAAACTTATTTATGGACAATAATACAGTTTCGGCTGTAATTGGATAACTGAACTTCCCTCTCTCTGTCTCTGTTCATTCCAGAATCCGAGACAATCAACTCCACCCCGGTAGCGGAAGAAAAAGAATCCGACCGAGAGAAACCGGTAGCCCATTAGAATGGACAAGAAATCAGCTTCAACCACCAAACGAGAAAAGAACCAACATTTAAACTGGCAACTGGTACGCGTCCACGTGATCACTAATAACCCCAGTCATTGTATCTTGTACCACACTCTTGACCTTCATCTATCTCTCCCTCTCGTTCGTTGTCTGTCTGTGTTACGTTTGACTGACTAATTTTGAGCCAGTTGGGCTCATTCATCGTTATCTTTTTCCTCTCTCACCCTCACTGTCCATCATTCTCATTTTGTGCTTTCACTATCACAATATTGATTGATTTGTGTACAGCATGTGTCCATGCAATCGGCTCTGCTTGCATCCGCATGAAAAAAAAACAAAGTGAAATACACACATGTGAAAAACTACTCTGTATCTCTCCTTCCCTCTCTCGTACACTTGGGGTTCGATGACCGGGGGCATAATGTGGACGCGCGCCAAATGAAGAATCCAGATGAAGGGAGTAATTCTATTTATCGCGTTCACTATAGGTAGAAATTTGGAAAGATCGATCCGTGCACATCCATGATAGGTCATACATTTTACGCAGCGAGTTCAGAGACTCTCGTTTGTCGACTACCGACCCAGTGGTTTGAAGCATTGGGTCCTCTTGATCCATTTCATCAGAACAGAAAGAAGACAAATGTCGCGAGATGTTCACATTTCGTTTAATCTTCGCAGTCGCTGACTTAAAACAAACAGGCACATGGGATTGATCAAGTATGGTGAACGAACGTGTAAAGCCTACGAGGATTACTAAATTTAGAAGTAGAAGGTCAAATCCACGATAAAAGTGGATTGATTGTTTTAATTCAGCGACCAAGAAGATTAGACGAAATGTTAACATCTCGCAACATTGGTCTTCTTTCTGTTTTGATAATTTCGGTTTGAGCAAACTGTTGTTGGGTTGAATTGAAAGATTTGGAACAGAAAGAGAGTTCGTTGTTTCCGGGTAGACGAATCACATTAAACATTGTCGAATATCACGTTTGAAATATCATGTGATCAAGCTGGGATGTATTATTATTATTATTATTATTATTATTATTATTATTATTACTGTCTTCGATATACTTACTTACTTAGTTACTTAATGGGCGAAGAGGTTCAGCGAACTCGCCAACAGAACATGTGATTGCTTGAAGATCAATTGTTGTGATTACACACCAAATAAAGAATAAGTAACTATGTTGGAGACAGAAATCAAAACGTTTGTTGTCATTCGTGTAACCCGTAATCGACTGATGTTGCGGCCTCAGATTCACGTTACTCAGAAGTTGATTTTATTTTGCACGAACGAATTGAACTCCGATGAATGAATGGTTGGTACAAACAGCATATATGTTGGAGTATCCAGTATCCAAACAGAAGAACAAATGACAATTGGAAAACGAATGTACCGGGAGAGAATGCATCTGATGTCCGAATCACGAAGCATTTCGTCAGTTGGAGAACCGCTCACACATGAGACACATATCCGTGACCATTAGTAACTTTTATTCCTATCAAATATGCATCACAATTATATGAGGAATTAAAACTGTATGGATGAAATGACGAAGCGAGAATTGGCCCTGACTGGAACCAGGCATCACAAGAATTGCCAATTCCGTATCGTTTTATAATCAGAGGCAATAAGGAGAATATGTTGTATTGATTAAAAATCGTACAAGAAAGGAACAAACGAACAGAATACCACCTAATCTCGTGACAGAAGAGGACGACACAATGCCCGAATTGGGTCAATTTTTACTGGTAAAAGCCACACACCGGACGTAGATCCTCAAAATAGCATTTGTCAACTTGATTCATTCATCCAAACAAAATCCACTGTTATCGACAAGTGATTTGGATCATGTTCATCAGTTGAGCTGATTTCTGTGCCACACGTACGCACACACACACACACACACACACACTCAAGGCCCTGTGAGTTAGCGCTGGGCGGCGGGCGGAGCGGAGAGGGGTGGGTGAGCGGTAGTGCAACTGACCCAAAATCATGCTTTGCTCGCGATTTACACCAGTTGCACTCGGACCGGATTAGGTACACAGACCACCACCACCGCAACAACAACAACAACAATAACAACAACAACAACAACAACAATCTTGTTTTGGGTGCATCGCATGGAACATGCATACGCGGTTGGCGTTCCACATGCAACATTCAATGTGACCAAATTGAATTGGGCACTCATTCATTCATTGTTCGACCATAAAACGAACCCCGGAAATCACTGATTACACACACACGTGTGTGTGTGTGTGTGTGTGTGTGAGGTAACGACACAGAGCAAAATTGGACAGCAACAATGCTTATGCGCGGAGGAACCAGAGTTTCAGGTCACTCACTCAATCGTATGAACACACGAGCACTGGTGACCGTTATTTTTCACGTGCTGTTTCGTAATTAATTACAACCAGGCTGCAACAGAGAGAGAGACACGAGTTATGCAACCAGAGAACAATAAACCCTGGCACCCGGGGAACTTGCTTTAGCGTAAGCATTGTCACTAACCAAATTCTACCTCTGGGTGTAGTGTTGGAAACCCATGTGATCAAATTCATTAGCCCGGTACCTTGAACCATGATCAAAATCTTTCCGTTCAGGTAGAATCGCCTCATCAAATGATCCAATCTATTTGGAAGAGGGGTGTTAAAACCTAGATTGTGATTCCTCATCTGGCACAGGTACCACGTTCAAATGAGATGTGACTTCGTGAGTGATATCCTTGTCGTGAAAGAGAATCGAGCAATCCAATGGATATCTACAAATCCATTTTCCTCAAATCTCCAATCGAAAAATTCCACTGAACAATTAGTCACTCTCCCATTCCACACGGAACATCAGCCCAGACCTAAGAGCCATATTTGATTGTATTGCAAACCTATGGTGTGTTGATGAGTTTACTGTTCACATGTGGCTAGTTTGGATCGGAGCATCTTTGTTCGTTCGTTCTCCCTCGGACTGCAACGGTCTCTGTCTGTCTGTCTGTCTGTTTGTCTCTCACAGATCTGGAAAACTCTTTTAACCGTTTTGGAAACACGTATTCCCGTGTTTTGTTAGGGGCGGGGGAGAATGGGTGTGGTCTTTGTTTCACTTCGGATAGGCTGGAACTGTAAACGGTTCATTTATGTCGATTATAGAGAAGACTGCACTCACAAAGCGAATACACGGAATAGGTGTAAACTTTCTTCAGCATGGTGGAACAGAGTTGTAGATAACGTAAGTCGCATGTAACACTGCTGCCATGCGTGAGGTAGAGAAGTGCATTGTTACGCCGATATCCTTACTGGGTGTTGGATGTTAGTAACATTTTGTAGTCAAATAAGGAGGAGTATAGGTCGAACGAACTAAGTAAGACAGGGCGAAAGTTTTAGCTAGATAAGGTTGGCGCGCCCTTCGATTGGCTGCGCTACACTCTCGTGCTTCTTCGTC